GAAAAGTTGATATCTAAAAAAAAAAGAGCAAATTAGATTTTTTTTTCAAAATAAAACAAATGTAGTAATGAGTTTTTATAAAACGAATAGTATCACTGGATTACCTATATATTATCTAAAAGATAGCAAAAAGGTATTGTAGAAGTGATTTTATAAAGAGTACCCTGATAGTACTAAAAGAACAACATTTTATAAATATTTAGAAGGTAGACAATATATATATAAGAAAGACTTAGATGATCTATGCTCAATCTGTAATATGTATAGATATGAGACATTTGATAAACTTCTAAAATTAATACAATATAATGCAGACTTGAATCATCAGGTAATTCATATTATTAAAAAATTATACCTTTTTAAGTTAGAAGATTCTTTATGTTGAATACTATTTTACATGATTTCATAAACATGCATGTTAGGGTGTCCAAGATTATGATTCAGTATAACATGTATATAATTTGCAATTTTTACTTTTACTCTATAATTCATTCACTTTCATGCAGCATATAAACAAAAATTGATTAGTTAAATGAATAAACCGGTGACTGTAATCACCTGACTTGTTCTTTTTGAAAATTTATTGACTAATAACTCATAATTCACATAATTTGCAATTTACCTGATATATAATTTGGCATTTACCAGATCATAATTCTGAACGCCTTAATGCATATCTGATAAATCATGTGAAAATTACAACTAGCATTTATTTGAATGATTCCAAAGGGAAAAGGCACTCCAATCTTATATATTTTATATAATTGGAGTGCCTTTTTCTTTAGCATTACTCATTAGTATGCTAAATCTTTGAATCTCATTACTTTTTATGTACATTAAATGATAAAATTAAACAATAATAAGGAGTGATTGTTAACTGAATGTAGTAATCTGCAAAGATATTTAAAAAAGATTATGAAAATGAGTTAAAAGTTGATTTTGTAGTTATACAAAACATGATAATTGTATCAATCATTGAATGCTTTATGCATTTGGAACTTGCTTAGAATTTTATGTTCTAATCTGTAATCGTTGTGAAGTTTTTTTATCTATTTAGTAAAATTCAAGAACATTTACCATCTGACTTTCATATAGAATTAAAAGAGTTACAAGAACACTTACTATACTATTTGGCACATCAAACCACAAAAAAATATATTTAAATGTGCAACTAAATGCTCATTTAGGTGAGCTTGATGAAAAAGATGCTGTAATTATCATCAACTACAAAATAAAAATCTTGCCAAAAAGTGCATGTAAAATGAAACAAGATTTTTTGAAAAAAAAAATGGTCACTGCATTCAGTATTGGTATATACTCACTAGCCTAATAACAGTAATTTGGAAGTTCAGGTTTTTGATCATTGGTCAACAGATCTATGCCAAGATATATAGTTTACAGCTTCTTTATTGCATGCTGCAATTACTAACCTTGATCCTCAGCCTAAATCGATTACTTTTTTATCAGATAACAGACCTCACTACTATAATACAGATCTAATGATAATTATGGGTTGATAGAAGAAATAGTACAATATTCATATTAGAAAGTAGACTTTTTTTGAAGTGAGAGAAGCTAAAACAACAATAGATTCTCACCATGTACAGGTTTAACTTCCTGAGCTCTTTTTAATACATTTAATATCAGATTATAATAAAGTCAGATTAAAATAAGATTTCGGATATTTATTTAACTCTCTAAAACTTATTTATACCATTTATTATAAATTCTACTTCTAAAACTGACCCTAACTCTAAAAAAAAAGCCAAAAAATACATCTAAAAAATAGATTTTTTGGTAGCTTGTTTGTTTTATACTATACAAAATTTCAATTTAATAAGAATTTTATTAAATCTACTACATTTAATGTATTTATTTTACTATTGATATTTCTAGATTTTATATGCAATTAGCTATCATGTTCGTTTAGAATTTGATATTATGCAAGGATCAGATATTGAGTTAGCAATTGAAGGAATCTGTAAAACATCTGTAGCTTATTTAGAACCAGAGCATACTAAAGGTAATAAATTATAAGTATATTAAACATCAAGATATTTAACATATTAACTTTTTGTTAATTTTAGATAAAAAATAGATCAACATTTTACCTAGTAACTCAAACTGGTTCTCATAGAAGTAGCTATGTGATAGTGACTATACCAGATATATTTAAGCATGTGCAATGTCTAATATTGGTGAATAGAACTATTTTTTACCTGTGAAGTTAGAAAAACTAAAAAAAAAAGAAATACAAAAACTGAGTCCTCAAGTTTTTTAACATTCTATTCTCAAATCCTCATGGTTTGTCTTACTGCAATACAGATTAGGTAGTATTCTACCTTTTATTACTACTATATATAGCTATATTACTATCTTGATCTAAATTTTAAGTGCCATTTCCTAATGTCTGATAGTCAATCAACTAAAAATACGAAGTAAAGAAAGTAAAATTAAATTTTGTTTAATGCTATAATTTTATAGTTGCTATCAAAATTGGTATAACTTATATATAATTCTTATATATATATTTAGCTAATAATTGTAATATAAAAGTTTGTATGAAGAATTTTTTCTTATATCTAGGTGGACATTAAAGAAAAATCAAAAATTTGGAAAAAGAGAAGCAGCTAAAAGAATTAGTAAATATGTAATAGCTCACCTAAAAGTATACTTTTTACATTGATCAAAAATTTTTTAATATAAAAGGCCGATATTTGGAAGATAGCTAGGTGAAACATCTAAAAACAAACATTCGAATATCGTA